TCACAATGTAGCCTAGGCTGGCTTCAAACTCAAGACAATCCTCTCATCTCAGCCTCCCAAGTGCTGGGATTACAGGTTATGTGCCACCATGGCTGGCTGCAGACTCGTTTTTTGACTAACATCAAATCTCATTTGAGTTCCTAACAGTGATGATTCTATTGGACCACAGATGCTGACTCTGTGTCCCAAATGCCTAGGACTTAAAAAAATCGTAAGAGGAGAGGAGAAAGTCAGTTTCTACTCATGCAATGGAGACTCCCTCTTCTCTGAGATCCAGGTTCTCGCTGGCAGGCTTTTCCACATTTTAAACCTTCTCTGCCTCCCCCTTTGCCCCACTGATTTGCCAAAAGTGTCCGGATGTGTCTGGAAGGAATGCGGTTTGAGTACTCTAGTGCCGGGCCCCTCAAAACCTGCTTCACCAGCTTGACAAACCTGTCCAGGCCTGCCAGAACCCCATCAAGGAACAACAGGTTTTCCACCCTTTAAAGCGTGGAAGCAGAAGAGAGATTAAAGGAAAGAGAGGGAAAAGACACAGTCAGGACACGGCGACACTGCTGCGTGACCTGCCTCAGGTCCTCTTTTCTAACGATCATTTTGATGGTTAATTTTGGCACAAAAATCGCCTTTCTTCCACATGCTCTGAAGGTCTGGTTCTATTTCTGGTCTGGGGGAGTGGGCACCAGAAATGCTTAAAAAACATTTTTGACAAAATATTCTATGTAAGGAATGGAGACTAAAAAATGAATTAAATGAGAAAGTAAAATAAAGAAACAAAAAGCACCCCACTTTGCTTTGAAGTGAGTACATTGTGACAAGACAGGGCTCCTCCCTCAGAGAACCTTAGTTCCGGGACCAGTTTCCAGGGTTTGTTTCTTCGCCAGGCCCGTGCGGTCCGCCCAGGCCTCAGCTCTTTTTCCCAAACTGGGACGTAACTGGTCAGCAACACCCAGTGAGAGCTTGGATCGCGCCGATCTCTTTCTCTGTAGTTCTTGTCTCTGCGAGGAACAATGAACGCGCATCCAAGCGCCTTGAACGTAGTCCCTAGATTAAGGCAAACTTTCTGCCTTTGCCTGTCGTATTGCTGGGATGTTCAAGGAGACATCGCAGCGGGTGGCGCTCATTTGTTTTCTGTGGTTTATCCTTGACGGTGGCTGATGGACTAAGCACACGGAGAGCCACTTCAGATCTCGCAAAGGTGACCCAGGGCACTGCTGCCTCCTAATCTCTTACTGAAACCCAGGGGAAGCTCGAGTGAAGCTTCCAGCCTCACGTGGTCGTGGTTATTTGCCTTTATCACCAATTTTAGAGGTCGCCTAGCTAAGCGGACGAGTGCATTAGCTCTGCAGCAGGTAACTAACACCTCTGACCTTGGGGAACAGCAGAGTTGCCCACGTTGTTTTCCAAGGATCCAAGAATCAGGATATGACTCAACCAGTCGAAGCCACTGACCTTTCGCTTGGGCCTGTGGAGTGTTCAGTGGGTGAGCTTTTGATGTCAGAGGGCCAGAACTCCACCCCCAGAGCACGCCATTGCCACGGCCTTGTGGACACACGTCCTGTGAGGAGCCCGAAGCCTGGTTAGGCGTGCACGACCCACCTTCCCTTACTTCTGATCCCCTTTCCCCACTCCCCAGACTGCCCTGCTTCATATCCCATCAATACCCCAAACTCTATCCGTGTGGGGAAGCAGATTTAGGACTTGAGCTCCCATCTCTACAAGCTTGGGTGCCTCATGAATAAACTCTTGGGCAGAACTGGTCATTTCAAAGCTGGACATGATGGTGCACATCTGTAATCTCAGCACTCGGGAGGCTGAGACAGGAGAATGGCTGAGTTTGAGGCCAGTCTGGGCTACACAGCGAGACACAGTCGCTCACACACACCCACCCACCCACACACACACCCCTCAATTGTATTTACACAGTGGGCAAAATGGACCTGGCTTGGTAACGACCAGCAGAGATACTGGGGAAGGAAAAGAGCTCCTGCCTAGCACACACACACACAAAGTTAAGGCGGCCTCAATCTATCATCACATTGATTCATATTCTAATTACCTCTATATTTTTATAAAAATGGGGAGGAGGACGTGCTGTCCCATCCATCCACATTTGCAGGTGTTCTTCAAGTTAAGAGTAGAAGAGTGGGGTCTCCTCTCTCCTCTCCCCCACAAGTGGTGCCACAGCTCACAGCTTTCCTCTGGGCCTCCTTCCCCATGTTCCTTTTATTCTCCCTTCTTTGCAGCTCTGGGTGTGACCAGAAGATCAAGTTCTGGCCAGAGGCATCCAGGTGGCAGGCGACAGCCATCTGCCCCTGGGACCTTGCTTAGGAAGCACTGTGCCCGGAGGCTCTTCATCCCCTCTGCTGTTATCACGGATCCCTGACACACGGCCAAGCAGGAGCGGGGCTTGCGTCTCTCACACCAGGGGCCGCTGTGTCTGTTCTGCCTGCCACCTAGACTTTCAGGGCAGAGAGAAATGGAATCTGTGGTTTAACACAAGTGTTGTGTTGATGACTTGGTTGGTTATACCACACGTCAGCTGGGGGACTTGGCCCATTGTGGGTAATCTTCGAGACGGCCCACAGCACCCTGTCTTACCCAAGCTTCCTCTATCACCAGGACAGGCGAAGGGAGTGTGATGTGTTTGCTGTTAGAACTTTCAATGGGAATCGAGCTGCTTCATTAACCAACGCCAGTCACATGACTCCGTCTAACTTCAGAGCAGTCAGATTGTGTGCTCTGAAGACGGAACCAGAACATGTGCACAGTCCTAATGACTACTGCAGTTTCTATCTTGTTTAGGCCACTGATATTTTGGGATTTCAGCCACTTGTACCTGTGCCGAATCTCATTAACACAGTGGACCCTTGACTTAGGAACTCAATTCATTCCTGAGGCCTGGTTGTAACTCATGTTGGTCAATTGCCTTCAAAGTCTCTCTTCTGTATAATTTTTTTGTAGTTTTTTGGTACCAGGGACCAGGACCTTGTGCTTGCTAGGCAGGCATGGTGGTGCCACTGAGCTAAATCCCTGGCCTTCTCCTGTATAATTTTAGGCCACAGTTTCTTCCCGGCAGATCTCAGGGTCCTTAGAGAGACATTGGCCCAGGATTTCCCAGTTAATCTCACACAGGAAAGGATTTTTTTCCCAGTACTGGGAATTGAACTCAGGACGTTGCAGTACAGGCGCAGCTGCCATTGAGCTAAATCCCCGGCCTGGAAAGGATGTTCCTTTCAGAACTCTTAAGGTTTAAATTTGTATCTGAGACCATATGGAAGCACAAGTAGCTGGCATTTGGGTTGTAACTCAAGACTTTGGTTGTAAATTAAAGCTAAAATTCTGGCCATAACCCAAGTTGTTCATGTCAGGCTGGTCATAACTTGAGGGTCCATTGTATAAGAATAGTCACATTGATGCTGTGATAAGTAGGTTTAAACCGAGTCCTACAAGGATCTCATCCCTGGTGTACACCTTATGCTCTGCAGGATTGATATGGATTACTTTCTCCTGGATGCTTTTTGCAGAAGGAAGATACCACTTCCTTTCCTTTCCTTCCCTCCCTCCCTCTCTTCCTTTGTTTCCTTTTTTTTTTGTACTTGAGATCAAGTCCGGGGCCTTTGCACTTAACTGCATCCCATCCCTTTAATTTTTAAAAATTTATTTACTTGCAGTGGTTCCAGTGCCTGCTGTGCAAGCGCAAGGTCCTGAGTTCGATCCCCAGTACCAAACACACACACACACAAAACAACAAAAGATTTATTTAATTTTTTTTTAGACAGGGTTTTGCTAAGTCACTAAATTACCCAGGCTGGGCTTGAACTTGTGACCCTCCAGCCTCAGACTCCCCGAGTGCTGGGATCACAGGTGTGTGCCATGCCAGGCTCACATCTTTCTTAAGATTCCCTGCCCCTCTCCACTTACAGGGATTACTGAATCAATGAGATCAGAATGTTGACAAATCTGTAAAAATTCATTTCTGCCTTTCTCTCCCTTTCTCTCCTTCCTTCCCTCCCTCCCTCCCTCCGAATCAATGAGATCAGAATGTTGACAAATCTGTAAAAATTCATTTCTGCCTTTCTCTCCCTTTCTCTCCTTCCTTCCCTCCCTCCCTCCCTCCCTCCCTCCCTCCCTTCCTTCCTTCCTTCCTCCTTCCTCCCTCTCTCCTTTCTCTCTCTCTCTCTCTCTCTCTTTCTTTCTTTCTAGTTTTTTTGAGACAAGATCTAGCTCTGTACTCCCAGCTGGCCTCGAACTCACTATGTAGCCCAGGGTGGCCTGGAACTCGTGGTGATCCTGCTGCCTCAGCCTGTGCTGCGATCACAGGCGTGGGTCCCCACACCCGGCTAGAATTCCCATTTCTCCAGTTTACATGATCACCTCTAGCTCCTTCCAAGTTTCCTATTTTTTTGAAAGCACAACTTTACTTTTGCATTTTTCTGCTTTGTTGCCACATTGAAATTTTAGCCTTTGAGATCTGTTGTTTTTTTTCAGTGGCTTTAAATATGACTTTCCCTCTCTCAACCTGGCAAACATCCTCACTAGACCTGACAACTCCTTCCAAATTCATAGATAGGCAGGTTGTTCTAGCCTTACTGTCTTATCCCCTCCTCGTTCTCCTTTTCTGAGACCCCCACAGTGAGGCTTCTGTTCATACCTTTCCACTGAAATTACTTTCAAAAGTCATTACTGCCCTTTGTCATGAACAATTTAGCCAGGGATTTAGCTCAGTGGTTCTGGTGCCTGCTGCACAAGTGCAAGGTCCCGAGTTTGATCCCCGGTACCAAAGAAAAAGAGCAATGTGCCTAACATTTTGGAATTTCCTGGCAACCTGTTTTCATACAGTTTATATAGTGGGGTAGCAGTGGGATATAAAAACCTTTACAGGTTTAATAAAACGAGGAAGACCCTCTTGGCATTTCAGCAGTATGGGAATGCATTCTGATTTGTGATGGGCAAACCCCTATGCCTGTCCGCCCTGCCCCAAGGCAGAGAAACCACCCCCATCAGAGGGCTGATGTATTTATTTCTCAGGCTTGTTCTTCTGAAGGAAGAGGAGCCATTTTAGACGTGAATATGAAGGGCAAAAGCAGCTCTGGAGACACCGAACAACAGCTGATGTTACAGGTTTAACACACTCACTTCATTTCACTGGAAAAAATAATGAAAGTGGTGAAAAGTATTTATGGAACCAGAGGAGAGCATATTTTGCTGGTTTTACTTTATGTTTGAAGTTTTGGGTATAGCTCTGCCCATAAATACTGAAATGCCTAGCATAAAGAACACAGCCTGGGGCATACCCCATAAAACTTACAGTGCAATTAAATGAGCAATTTCCACTGGAAATAAAACGGGCATGTTGAGTGGAATGTGAATTAAACCACATTTGACTCAGGCTTGCACCGCGCTTTGGAGGGAGACCAGCAGCACCTAATGCAGTCCAGCTGTAGGTCAAGGGCAGTAACTAACGAAAGGTAACTGCAGTTAGCATGAAGACCCGGGCATTCCAAATTGTGGTTAATGTAGTTCCCTGTCTTCATGTCTCCTGAAAAGGCCCAGCAAATTGGCTACCAAAAGATTAAATCCGAGCTTTCATTTCACTGCAGGCAAGTGAGCTTCTGCATTGTATTTGCTTTGCAGAATTTCTGATACATTCCTTAAACTTCACTTTCACTCTCTGAATATTCTCTCCTACACTAGGGTCACCCAGGTGTCCTTACAAAGGGTCCACAGGGCAGATTTCAACTGGAAAATCCAAAAGCCATCAAACACAAAACGACTTTGTGTTACAGGCACTTTCTGCCCAGCTCCATTTCTGGGACGTCCTGTGCAGGTGAAAGGACAGTGACTGATATCCCAAGGGCAAACAGCCCAGGAAAGGACCTAGAACTCAGAGCCTTTGAGGAATCACGTGCAGAAGCTTGGCTGAAGGAGGTGCTGCTCTTGTGCCCTCTGGCTCTGCACCCTTAAATTCAAGCATCCGAAGATGGAAAATATTAAAACATTGCGTCTGCACTGAGCACGTAGACTTTGTTTCTTGTTATTATTCCCTAAGTGATATATTATTTACATAGCATTTACATGGGATTGAGTATTATCAGCAAACTAGAGGTGATTTAAAGTATTGAGAAGGTGGATAGTGCATATGCAAAATACTATGTATGCCATTTTACACAAGGGACTTAAGCATCTGTAGGGAGTCCTGAACTCCCCACCCCCATACCCAAGGATATCTGTACAGAAAACAGGATATTTTCTTTTTGAGACTGGGTCCGCTATGTAGTTCAGGCTGGCCTTAACTTACCGTGTAGCCCAGACTTGCCTCAGACTTGGAGCAATCCTCCTGCCTCAGCCTAGAGAGTACTGGGATTACAGGTGTGGTCCACCACGCCCAGCTTAAAGTACGTCTTTTTAAAGTTATGGTACTCACCATAGTTTTGTTTGAATTCATCTTCTCTTACCAAACCAAATGATAGGTCATTTTTCCTTCCTTTCTTTCCTTCTTCCTTTCTTCCTTCTTTCTTTTCTGTTACCGGGGATCGAACTCAAGACCTTGCTTGCCAGGCAGGCGAGGCACCACTGAGCTACATCCTCGAGCCTTGTCATTTTTCTAATGATAAAAATATGTAGGAAAATTTCTTGCATAAAAAAATATTTTCCTTGGCAGCATCTACTTTGAATTTTTCGCATTAGGTTATGTTCTCCCCACACTCAGCTCAGCACCTCTTCCTGGCCCAACGATCATCTGTGTCGTGAACCAAACACACTTCTCATGCACGCTCGTCCGGGACTGCCTTCCCCGACATGGGGGGGGGGCGGTGCAGGCCCGGCCTCCCTGCTGTGGAGCCAGAAGGGCGGCCCTGTGCTTCTCCAGGAGGACGGCGGGCAGGGCAGAAAGCCAGGCAGAGCTCTCGGACATCCGCGGCAAGAGGAGTGAATTAGGACGGACGCAGTGACGTAGCTTTCCCTGTGACCCTGACGTGTCCCACATTTCTTTTTCTTTTTCTTTTTTTTTTTTTTTTCCGGTACCGGGGATCGAACTTGTGCCCTTGCACTTGCACAGCAGGCGGTGAAACCACTGAGCTAAATCCCCGGCCCCACGTCCCACATTTCTTACACTAAAGGCATAATAAAAATAATAAAAAGGGCGCTTATTTAGGTTAACAGAGCATTATATAACCGAAAAATTTTGCCGTTTTATATGTATCGTGAGTAGTTTGTGGGGGAAAAAGAGCCTTCCCTTCGGTTTTTTATTTGGATAAGATTAAAATAAAACCACACACTCTTTTAAAGATGCGTATTTTTCTTTTTTCTTTTGAAGACAAAAGCTTGGAGGCATAAAATGTAATTATTTTTATTGGAATGACAGCCTCTTGGCGGCTGCTTTCCTACAGGTTATTGGGGAAATTATTTCTCGGTTTCCTCGGATAGCTGTGATCAGCTTGGAAAGTTTTGTTAATTAGCAAACGATGACGCAATATATCATGGCATCTTTCGGGCTCTGGCGCCAGCTAGTGGTAGGGACGGGGAGCTGCATGCATCCACTCAAATCGGAGAAGGCGTCTATCGGGCCTCTCTGCTTTATCTCTTATCCTCCCCATTTTTTTTCCCCCATCAACATAATGGGGGAATCTTTGCAGTGTGGCTAGAGAGGAGCAGACGGAATTATAGATGAACGTAGAGAAAAACGGTGGGCAAGGGCAGAGAGAAGAAAGGCCAGAAAAATGCAATTATTTCTCCAAGGATTTGAGACGAGATCATTTATTTGAAACATTCCTGCCACGTTGATGGAAGAGCTCAGTTCTTGCCAGTGAATTCGCAGCCTTTTGTTTTTCATTTGCAGATATATTTGAATATATACTATTACTTAGGACACGTACTACCTATGGAACTTCACCACAAACAGCACTGGGGACATGCTGTAAGTGTAAAACTGCGTTCATTTTTAAGTAGCAAATATTTCTACTGTGAACAGCCTCCCTCCTCACTGGTACAAGTCTAAGATGAATAACTCTCAAATGGTTAATAAACCAGAAACCTCTTAAGATGATATTTGTAGCTGGTATACCATGAAAACAATATAAAAATTCCAGCCAAAAGATACCATCTTTTGGATATCTGAAGCCGATTTAGGCGTGGAGCAGTCTGCTCTCAAATAGAAATAGGTTATGATGGTTCGCAGGAAAACTGAAAACATACAGTATTTATTTTAAGAACAAAGAACCTTTGGCAGGCCATTTTTCACATTTAATTAAGCCATAACTGATCTTACTAGGGTTATGGAGAGACTTCAAATGGTAATAAATAAAACCAGAAGTGGAAACATTTCTTTCATTAAATAGCGGGAGCTGTTTATAACTCTATTACTTATTGCTGAAATCAATTACTATCACTAATATTCCATGTGGAATTTACTATGGAAACAAGCTGAAGGTGACAAAGAATTTTTCTTTTTAAATGTCATTCATGTACCTACATCTGTGTCAATTTTAGAGAATAAGGATAATCCAAACTGAAACTTCTTGCTAGAATACTTTTTGGAAAGTACACCTAGTTTAAGAGGAGGTATTGGGAAGGAAGAATTGCCACAGTCTTGCCTTACCAAATTTATCTTCCTGCACTGTTGGGGAAATGACTCTTAAAATCTTGCCAGTCTGAGACATTAAAATGATAAAAATACTCAAGTCATAGTATTGATGTGTGAGATTTACATAAACTATATTTTAAGCCTCTTTTATTTTTTATTTTATTTTTGGTACTGGGGATTGAACTCAGGACCTTGTGCTTGTGAGGCAGAGCTAAATTCCTGGCCCAAGCCTCTTCTAAACTTCTCCTAAAAGCTACATATTTCATATTAAAAATTCACCCAGCTTTTTTAACAATCAAGAGAAATGTTACAATGTTCCCTTTGATTTTCATAAACATCTTATAACTTTTTACTCCTGGTTAAAAATCTTAAAATCTTTAGTTGACCTGTCCTCCGAATGTCTTTTACCTCTCAAGATGAAAACTGACCTTATACTACTGAGTAAGTTTCAAATCAGTACTTGTAAGGGAGTATTATTCATTTTTTGGAAAAAGATAATTGATTTTAATAAGACACTACTGATGACAGTGGATTAATTGAAGTGGGAAGTAAATGACAGAGTTTAATTGTCATAAACTTTGGAGAATTACAGCAAAATAAAATAACTTATGCTCTTTTAAATCAGCTTTGTAGTATGTAAGTACTTATTTTAAGTGCTGGGTTTGTCATTAGGTCTATCTTTAAAACTGTTTAATGATTGCCTTAAAATATTTTGATGGCTACTATAACACTTACATAATTTCCCATATGCTGCCAAATAAATGTTTCAAAATGTCATTCCATCATAATTTGAAATTTACTCATAAAGATTTTAAGATTTATCATTTGAGTTTAATTTCTTCTTTTTAGATTTATAGAGTCAGAAATAAACTCTATTGCAAATGAGCACATTTGAAGGAAGGAAGGAAAATATATTGGGGTTTATTTATTTATTTTTTCTCTTTAGAGATCATTGCATACCTGGGAAATAGTGATATCAGCAAATAATCAGTCTACTCATTGCAAATTCTACTTTCATGTGAGATAGTCTAAAATTTTATTTTCCGGTATTGGGGATTGAATCCTGGGCCTACTCACTGAGCTACAGCCTCTGCTCCCTCTCTTTTTAATTTTTTATTTTGAGACGGAATCTTCCTAAATGACTGAGTTGACCAGGCTGTGCTCCAACTTTGGACCCTCCTGCCCCGGCCTCCCAGAGTGCTGGGATTACAGGCGTGGGCCACCACTCCTGGCATGAGATAAACTATACATTTAAAAAATAAAATAAATAAATATAGGGTATCCTTTTTACTCATAGGGATGGGGTGGATGTCCCCGAATGTGACAACGTAAAGTCAAATTTAGGAATAAACACAAGCGCGCCTTCATTCTGAGCGTTACATTGAAAAGTTGAGGCATACTGAGATGCATGCACAGGAATAATGAAATATTTGGCCTCTGGAGTCTATCGATGTGAAATCTCAGCGTCCCCTCACAGAGAGATGCTGGGGCCCTCTGCAGACTCTCCCGTTGGAGTCGCTGGCACAGGATGAGGGGACACAGCTGCCAGCAGAGCACCGCAGATGGCTCCCCTCATTAGCCCGCAGGAGTCGCGCAGCGCGGCGGCCCGGCGTGGGATCCCGCCTGGACCCGCTGAGAAGCCGGCCTCCTGTTCGGTGTCATTACGGCTGCCGGGCTGGCTGTACGGCGCGCTGTCGGAGGCTGGAGTCGTGGCACCGTGCCCAAGGTGCCAAAAGACACCCATGATTGCTTTTCAGACCTGACCAAGTTTCACCCGAGCCCGAATCGCTTTCTCGTGCTCCCTCGGTCAGTGCACCCCACGCGGCTGCAGGTCTCGCTCGCTTCCTGCCCTTGACTCACTGATTTTTTTTTTTTTTTTTTTTGGTACCAGGGATCGAACTCGGGTCCTTGCGCAGCAGGCAGCGAAACCACTGAGCTAAATCCCCGGCCCTTGACTCCCTGATTGATTGACGTATTGGTATTTTAATTTTATTTTGTTTACCCTTTACTTATGAATCAGCCTAAAAATCAGGGCAGCAAGCCCTGGCACCCGGAAACGTTAGTTAAATTTAGCAGTAGAAACAGCAGGGGGAGCCCGTACTGTTTTACGGTCTGCGGTTTCTCTGGCTGGATTGTTACAATAATTATTACAGTGGTTGTTTTACATTTGTAACATAGTTGCCCACAATCTGTGTACACGCGTAACATAGGCGCGTGGAGCAATCACTGCGTGCTGCACTATTGCAATTTTAGGTCACAGAGGGCGTATCTTTTATTCTTTTTTTTTTTTTTTTGGTACCGGGGATCGAACTCGGGTCCTTGTGCTTGTATCTTTTATTCTTTAATTATATGAAGTTACTGTACCAGGACACCACTAAAAGCCACTGATAGGCAAGAACTTGGAAGTGAAATTTCTTCCTTGTCTTTTAATCCAAGGAAAAATCTTGTTCAAAATTTTGTTATTTCTCAAAAAATGAGTTCAGCTACAATCCCGTCTCACGTAATCCCTGTAGCTGTTTTCTTGGCCCTTCTAGCCTCTGCCCCCCTCAAATCAAAATAAATTAAAATGTACCATCTGATATGTGTAGAGGTTGTGATAGTGAGGAGCGGTCCTAGGTCCTCCTGGAATCACCCTATTCTAGCAGTTTTTAATTTTAAAGTTAATAAAATGCAGAGGCTCAGTGGCCTTTAATATTGCTTCCTGTGGGTTGATCAGGTCTTTGGGCCAGAAGATTTTCACTACCATAAAACAATTCAGAATATCTGAATTACTCGTTGTGCGCTGTCGAAACCATTTTAATGTCCACGGGCACACATTTTACATGTCATGGCCCATCTTAGATTACTCTGCCCCATCGGGGAAGAAGGAACTCTGGTCGTATACGCACACGCCTGAATTGGAGCCTGTGCTGTCAGAAAATCACCTCCCAGTGCTATTTATGACTATGCCCAGAAGCGTTTCATGAGCAATTTTCGTTGAGTGACTTTTGGATTGCGTAAGAAATAGTTTAAAAGGGCCAGGGATTTAGCTCAGTGGTTCCGGCGCCTGCCTCGCAAGCGCAAGGTCCGGAGTTCGATCCCCGGTACCCCCCCCCCCCCAACTAACAGATAGAAGATCAAGGCCGTAAGCGCAGGGCAGCACTGGAAAAGGCCCGGTTAGTAGAGGACGTGGGAGGTGGGGGCCACAAGGAAAAGCCCCGGTCTGTTTGTGATGCTTGATGTACAGCTGAACAGTTAGGATTTTATTCGAGAGGCAGCAGCGGGAGTCTTGTAGGGTTTTAGAGGGAGACATAATAGGAATTATACTCCAGGAAGATTGATTTGGTGATAGGATACAGGATCC